TGTATACCAGAAAACGTATTTCTTAATTAAAAATAATCTCGATAAAATGAGAAAAAAAAAATTGTCGATTGACGTTCGTTTTAGGTACTACCTAAGAAGAAAAATATATAGGTGAAAATCTGGGCGTCTCGGATAGAAAAATTGATGACTTATGAAATGGTGGGGTATATATTACATTATAGTCTAAAATGTTAGTTTTTATAAATTATAATATTTTCCCTATCCTAATAATAGGTTTAAATGTTTTGAAAACGTATAGATGCTAAAATACCAATATAGGTAAATCTATAAAGAATCAAATTATCGATGATAGATCGTGAGTATACCTTTATCTGCAACATAAAAGACATTTATTTTAATTTCGATTAGAAAAATACCTTTTACAATTATGGCGATCGGACGGAGAATTTTCGAGTTAAATTTTTATCGTATCATTCGTACCTGAATGCATTAGTAACTGTCAAATTAAAAAAGAAACATTTTGAACGTCATCCGGATTTAAGCGATCATGAACATTAAATAACAATTTCACTTCTGTTTTGCTGTACACAACATTAGGAAACAGAATTCTTAAGCGAAAAAATATATATTTATTTATTATTCATGAATAGTATAAAAATGTAATACTATAGGTTTTATTTAAAAACCTAAACGTTTCGCTAAAAACCATAAAAAATTTGTTATGTTTGTTAGTATTCAAACATTTCAAACTGTGTGTTAGTTTTTTATATTAAATATATATTTACTATAGATCGTGTGAATCCAAAACATTTTAACTGATTGAATATACTCGTGCGTTATAAAAATCATGATTCATGATCATATACGCATAGTTCAGATAATTTTAGTTAATCATAGAATTGATATTTTTTACGTTTTGAAATATATAAAATATGAATCAACTAATATTTTAGTGTTTAAATTTATTGGTAATAATTTCGAATTTCAACAAATTTAGAAATCATACTTTTTAAGATGKTCTTATCATATTGTTAAGATTTAGTATATGACTTAATAAAATCGTTTAGGTTCCTACTAATCAATTCAGTTGTGACATGAAATATTTATAGTTTTAATTACAATTATGAAATAAGACTATTATATTTTTGTTTTTGCTAAATTATTTTAATAGTCTATTCGTCTATGCAGTTGCATCTCCAACTTTCACTTTTATTCATTATCTTTACTTACTATTATCTATATAATATAATTTATCCGCAGAAGACTCATCCATTCATCTATTATTATGCAAAATAACCTAAAACATTTTTAGTGTATTTAATTTAAAAATAAATATTTTGTTTTAACGATCTATTTCAAGGTCTATTTTATTTTTACAACCTGAGTGATTAGTGTAGTATTTTTGTGAGACGTTTAAAGATTTGGATAGCAAAGAAGTCTTAGTCTCCCAAACCAAAAAAAATAAGTTCATTTGAATTATAAAGTATTAATTATCCATTAATTTTAATTCAATGTCAAAATGAGTAGTTATGATGACTATATATTATACTACCTAGGTATCTAAATTCACTTTAAAATAAAAATTATAAAATATTTTACATCCAAAGAGAATATATTATTATAATATARCGATTAGAAATACTTTGTAGGTATGTTATTATCAATAATATCGATACTTGCATCAACCGTTATACTCGACTTACAGTTTTTTTTTTGTCCTTAAAAAATGATATATTTATGCATTTTTTCGTACATATTATAGAGTATAGATTAGATTAGTTTTCTTTTGACTTATATCTGAAACATATAGTTGGCAAATAAAATACTAATTTTAGTTAGTCAGATACTTGTGCGTATATTGATTAGAATAATTAAATAAGTTATTGTAATTATATGCTGTTGATATCTGTGCAATATGGTGTTTAATTAATCAATTGTAATTACATATATTGTACTCAATGTAATTTAAGCTAGAATGTCAACGTATGTTAATTCAATTCTGCCAATCACCATAGTCGCAGGGGCTTTATTTAATAATAATACACTCAACAATAATATACTCAATATGTTACTTATAGTTATAAAGTTGTGATTATACACTTGTTGTATGCTTATAATTTTTTTTAGTACTCACTTAAAAATGCATACCTGCAGCTTATTTATATAATCATTAATATTTTTGATTATTTTAACGTAATGGGTAAATATTGTAAAATCTTGTAAAATCTTGTTTCATCTTACATGATTGATTCAAACGTGAGCATTTTTTTTTCAAACTTAAATACTTAAGCGTGGTGCAATAGGCGTTTTAACTTTTTAAGTGCAATACCAAAAACGCCTCYTCTTTCCTCCAACCTTGAAATCGCATATACATTGCTCGGGAAACATGTTGCCTACGCAAATCACACATTTCCACTACAAAGTGTATGTACAATAATATGTAACCTGCATCTGTAAATGATCTAGAAGTTTGTTCTTAAAAAAAAAATACATCTATCAGTTAAAAAAAAGGGAGAATTGTGTGCTGTTAACAAGACGTGTTCTGCAGGTAAAAAGGTACCTACGCATGTAAAAAATAAGCTTGTTCTGAGTGTAAGTTTATCATGGTTACGATGGCGTGATATTCGAACTCTGAAGGACACTGCAGGTACCTATATTATGATGCGTATTATATTATACCTGTATTATACATATCTTATACCTACATCTCTGCGAATGTTTACCTATACGTATCATGTCTTGTGAGTTGCGGTGACTTACTTTACGAATGTAAAAGTAAATAATATATGCTTTTGAAATTTTAATGCATTTAATTTGAAACGGATTTTGTAAATAATTATTGTAACGGTGTTAGCTAGAACGTGGTTCAGAGGTTTCGGTATAATGTATTTGGATCACGTACCGATTTTAGTATGACATCAGAATTTAATAAATATTATATTTCATTAATATTTTAGTTTCAGATCAGTGATATCGTGTAATTAGGTCATATTAAACGAAACAAAACAAAACAAAAAACACCATTACCTACGCATTTGTTGCAGTTAGCTGCGATTAATAACAACATTTCAATTCATTTGCGTTATAAATAAGGTATAATAATAATATGCGGATATTTAATTATTATCATTTAAAATTATTCGCGCAGTTAACGTCCGCCGTTGCAACGTGATGCAGGTGGTGTCGAAATTATTACACGTCATATTATTTTATAATGCTGGTCTCCGAACTAAAAAACCGTCGAGGTTTAAAACAATACTGATTTCAAAGATTATTATTATTATTATCATCATCGTTATTATACAACCTACGATGGCGGTATTATTTCGACGGTAGTTACGTCACGCGTTACCCTATAGAAGATTGGCGTTTTACTTCATTTCTTCAGCTTTTGTTCCGAAACCGTTCGCGCACAATGGAATACTTGTGCGTTGCGTGTCTGCATACGCTTATACTTATACATACCTAGGTATATGACGCGAAAACTTACGCACGTTCARTGGGCGACGGAAATATTATAAAAGGTCAGTAGGTCTCCTCCGGTGTGCGCATTGTAATATARWACGACACTCCATATCATAATACGTGTAGCGTCTAACCACAACGAAAATAATGTTATACGCGCATTATAAATGCAATAATATCATATTATTATTATTTTTATGTATTCCGCGTGGACCGACGGGCACGCGACGACCTATAAAATCGGCATTCCGTGGCGTATGCCAAAGACACACGCAGGAAATGCTCACTGCTGTTATTGTTATTAATATGAGAGTGTCGAACGTCATTCGATTTGCACTTACAACGTAGGTATCATATATATATATATACGATATTCGCGGCTGTGGTCAAGAATTTTGAAACAGACCCAAAACACTGTTGTTTTATTGCAGGTCGCGATTAATCCACGCCTTTCGGGTCCGGTATATGGCCCAGTATTTGACGAACGGCTTTCAAAATTTTAATCTTATACTATTCGAAACACGTCGTGTAAACATATTTTTGCAATGTTTTCAAATCTCATAGCCCAAATAACGCAAATTTTCTAGACTAGRAACAACAAATATCTCTGAAGAAAGCTCGCAGGTTGAATTAGAAACTTGACGTTTCTGTTTTTTTTTTTTTTATATAGATACGTATTACAGCTCGTTRTTATTGTTTATTAACTTTATGCAACATAATATGGTTTGTAATATTTTCAATTCGACAAGGTATTATAATAATTTATTGTTTGTACTGTTGTTACGACTTACGAATGACGGTCCTCTTCTTGTTCTACAGAGGGTTTTAGATTATGAAATATGATTCAGGAAAACGTTTAAAACTTATACTAGGTACCTATTAAGAATCTACGATTATTAGAACGTATAATGTCTTTTTTCTTTTCTAAATTAAAAATAAAACTGCTGTTACCGCGTTTCTAGACAATAATATAGATAATATGTCTAGTAAATGTATATAATTGTATATACCTATACAAATGTGTATAATTTTATACTCTCAAATGTATATAATTTTATACATAAACGTAAGTATATAATTATATAATATGTACGATGTATCTACCTACATATTTAAAAACTTGAATTATCTATATTATTTTGTTTAAACATTCAAATTTACCTATAAGAAATTAAGTTTAGGTAATTGGGTATAGAAGGTGATTAGAGGAGTAGGTAAACACAAATGTAACAGGTGGTATGTGGGTGGGCGGGTATGTACGAGTACAAACACACTGTATACATAAACTACGGTGATAAATTGAAATATTGTCTACTATTGTATAGTTGTAATTGCTCAACGTTCGCTCGATCCCTTTGTACACGCAATATACAGTTAGATCATAGGTATCACATAGGTAAGACTCGAAAAGCTATCAAATGTATTTTTCCGGTGCGCATTTGTGTGTGTGTGTGCAGTTGTACAACAATCAAATTTCAATTGTCTGCATAAGTCTTTGTCCACAGCTGGTCACACAAATCACGTAATAATATTATATAGTAACTTAACCATTTTCGTTTTTATTTTATTCACAGGCTCAGTCAAGACTTCGTTGATGTCTGGTTCGTCGTTCAACGTCACATGGCATCTGGCGTATCCTCACCGGGTAAGTTCAAACTCTGTAGCTCTGTAGAATAAACGCGCTAACCCGAGATCACGACCTGAGTACTTAACGTGTGTCGACGAAACGTCTGCTGCTGCAGCGATTGGCGGTGGAGCGTGTGACCAAAAAAAACGCGATGACAATTTAGTTGCATTGGTTGTGCAATCCCTCCGAAGATCCCAAAATGACAATATTATTATAAATTTCCATCGCGAATAATTATTATTATATTACTTGTGATCGTCGTGGTACGCATTACCCGCACTTATTATACATATATAGTGCGATAATGGTATAAATTGGACACAGCATCCATCTGAGCTGCACGATTTTCTGTGCATACGGGGTGATTGTGGGWGCATTATATTATTATTAATTAGTCGTTTGCGTAAGGGTATAGACACAATAACAAATATATAATAATAGATCGTTGTGCAATTTGATAGTCCTTCTTATATAGAAGGGATACATACCGGTATGTATTATATATACATACCGGTAGTAAAAACTTCCAAATAAATCGGCAATTGTATTTTTTAAACGATTCTATATTGTATAGTGAAGTATGGCGTATTGTTATACTTATTATATATTATATTCGAATTCTYTTGACGTAGTCTTCTTTTGTCACGTATACCTACAATTTCTGTGGTTCACGATTTGACTTCACGAATTTCAATCCATACATAATATAAGAACTCAAGTGAAAAAAAGCTTACACTTTATCCCATTTTATTGCATATTAAACTTCTCATATAACTTAGTATAATACTATACCATCTATCAGYAATATGTATTATTATTAATTTAATTCGTTTAACGTCCTACATTTACATTGTGTAGCTTATGATGTCATTTGTATAACTCATTTCAACATAATCAAAGATGTTTGGTCAACTATTGAGAGGAGAGGACGCTACACCCGCATTTGTTGTCTTCGTCTTACAAGTGCGTAACACAGCAAATTTTACGTTCAGCAGATCACGTTTAGCTCCGTTAGTTTAAAATGTAGAGTTAATCGAAATTTTATAAAAATTAAAGGTAACATTATTATGGAGGGCTTCTCATAGGCTTTTTATTATATTTTAATTTTTAAACGAGTTATAAATATTTTAAGACATACAAACAATTTATGATTTTAAAATATTTATAACTCGTTTTAAAATTAAAATATAATAAAAATCCTATGAGAAGCCCTCTATAATAATGTTACCTTTAATTTTTATAAAATGTCGATTAACTCTAAATTTTAAACTAACGGGGCTAAACGTGATCTGCTGAGCGTACAATTTGGTAGGTTACGCACTTGTAAGACGAAGACAGCAAATGCGGATGTAGCGTCCTCTATTAATTTATAAAAATACAAATGTATTAACGGACCGACAGGTCTATTCGTAGAAACACATTCGTAGTGGTGAAGTTATAATCGTTATCATTGATATAATCGAAGTTTAAACGGAATTGCATATCGTTATACACGATAATCAATATAAATAAAAAGTTATAATACCAAAGTAATCGTCTAATATTTCAAGGGGATGGAGGGGGGTTGAACCCCCAGAACCTTAGCTCTGTATACATGTCTGATGCCGTATATATATGGGTCTGTGTGTGTTATATAATGTCAGGACTTAAAAAACGGCCTCTCATAGTGTCTGACTCTCGTAGRTAYACATTTAAACACGTTTGATCTGCAGCAGAAGCTGTTCAAACCAGATCAACAGAATTTYGCGATTAAAATTTAAAAAAAATAGATTCAATATTATTATAAATGGAACTACGTAACTTTCGCGGGTATTGCTTTGAGTTATTTCTTCATAATAATGGCAGTCGCTTACGGCTTTTAGATATATTCTCCATTTTTTTACCAGCCTCATACGATTTTTATTACTTTCTCCAAGAATTCTTGTCGTTACAATCTTTGATGGAGTTTCGAGAGCACTAGGAATCACTAGAGTGTATAAGGTCACTAACTCGAGTCGAAGCGCCACACTTAAACACATATATGCACAAATTTATACCACGTACTTAGGCTTATACACTTGTAAGGTCCGTATAAGTGAATATTCCACTTTTACTTGTCGATTGTCCAATTATTTCTATAAATCATGGATTTTCTTTTAATTAATTTAAAGCTGCTTCGCAACGTTTATTTATTTTTAATTAGATCATATGAATGTGTTGTTATAAATGAGATGACATTTTTTATTGATGTTTTTGTTGTTGTTTACATAGGGAGGAATTAAACTTCAAGTACTGGACAATTATCAAAGGCCTGTATTGGATTTAACACCAGTCACAAAAGATTCTGATTTTTTGAGGACTGATGCAACGTGAGTACAACTCTATTTATCGAATTAAATACAGTTAGGAAAAAATGTACTTTTGATATCATTATTACTATTATTATCATATTGAATAACAATATTGTTGTAATATTTTAACCTAAATGGTTTTTTATTTTTTGAGAATTTACTGTTGATTTTTTTGTGATAAACTAGTTTATTTGCTTAAATATAGMTTTCTCAAAATATATGGTAGTTAATTTAATGTTTAAAAATATGATGTGTTATGTTAAAACACCGCATTTATACTTGAAATCTTGTTGTTCAATAATCTGTGGTCAAACAAATTTTTTAGGTATTATTAATAAAACTTAAAAATATATAATTTAATATGGTTTTAAAAATTAGAGTTCTTAAAAATATAGGTTGAAATTATACATTTGGTAAGCGTATATAATGAAAGTTATAATATCAAAGTCACTATCACTATAGGGATGATTTAATTTCAGTAGCGCAACTATACAAGGAAGAGATATTATAATTTGTGTGAAACTTTGAAGGATTCATCGTCAAAGAACGGTCGTGATTTAGTGATGCGTATTATTAATTAAGGCAWTAAAGAAAGTGTTTATGTTAGGAATCTCGAACATTGAATTATGCCACCTATAAATTCATTAGAAAAATATGYAAATAAAATAAAAATAAAAATAAATGTAATCCCCCAATGTACTTATATAATTTATTTTAATTTTCTGTTTAGAAAAAAACAAATCTGAACTTAAAAATTCGCAGAGTAATTATAATATTTTATGTCGTCTATAATCTATATTAGGTAGTTGTATAAAATATTAGTGTTTTCAGGCATGCAAAATAAAATTATAACTAATTACTACTTTATATTATTATAAAATACATAATATTTTAAATAGTGTTTAATTTATTCATAATTACATATGTAAAAGTAGTTGCTGCACAGCTTGTTTAGAAAGTAGACGTTTCACGCCAACGTTAATCTCTATAGCGGTATAGGTTGGGCCTGATACTAGAACTTAACAATGATAACGCCAAAAAACCATTAGATATATAGTGAGAATTCGGTATTCGTGTCCTACGGCGATTTTTTCTCATAGGTTATACTGGGTGATTATTTTATAACACTACCGTAGGTATATTACCCCTCCTTCTCGATACTTGTATTGTAATMATTTATGTTTAAAAAAAAAAAACAATGTAGCTTTTAAAATAATTTATTGGTTCTACAATGYATGATTTTATTGTATTTTAAAATTACGAAAAGGATTCCAAGATGTATTGCGTAGTATAATATCATAATAATCATTATAACTGCAGCAAATATTTTTCGTTTCCCGATACTGATTTTTCAGGTATAGGTATGATCTAATAGTAATATRWTTTATTGTAAATTATAAGACATTTACTTTTTTCAATATCATTACATATCATATAAATACATTTAATTCTAAATTTGATACAAAATAGTAGGTACTATTCTTACAAAATTATATTTCCGTCATATTTTAAACTACTGAACATTAGAATAGACGAATACGCGTCTTTTACTTTTACTTTCTGTCATAATATTACTATTCCTTTTTTATTGACATTAAGTTGTTTGTTTGTACGGTTCATTACAGGAGTTGAATGATAGTGATGTAAACACATAATATAACTAGCCATAAAATAACTAGCTAGAAATATTGCTACTTTTATTAATAAATATCACTATTATAGGTAGGTAGTAGGAACTACTATAGTTCCTACAGATCATAGGACATAGGTCTTAGGTGGGCATCTACTTAAAGCACTTTTACTAAGATTAATTAATTTAGCAARTTAAAATTAATGCTTAAATTATGCATTTATGAACTGTGATCGTAATACATTTTAGTATCCCATTTCACGTAAAAAATATTATAAAAACTTTACATACTTACAAATTTTGGAATTAAAAATTAAATTGTATTTATTTTCATTTTCATGACTAATAAAAACGTAACAAACAAATTATTATATTATATATTATTATTATTATAAATATATTAAAGTATACAAAACTCCAAGATTCACTAATAGGTGGGGCTGCTTAATTACACTTTTCGTGTTATTTTTTTTTTTGTATAGTCTAATCAAATAATTTTAGTGTGCTAATATTGTACAGATTGTTGAAAAACATTTTTAAAGTAAAAGTATACAAAACAATATTTATATTATATAGTTACAGTGTATCCTTTATGCGTATAACAGACACACGATTTGAAAATTGTCTATTTTAACAAAAAACCTAAATTCCTCGTGCATTTATTACACTTCGTTGTATATATTTACATATTAAATAGGTACGTAACACATCCATAATTACGTTTTATTAGTTATAATTAATAATGGCTGCAGTCTAAACAAACTTAAAACAAAATCGAAAAGATATTTTTAATACGAATACAATTTTTAAATAACATTGTTTATTATACGTTTGATTTTATTGTAAATAATAATATTATATGTATAGGTAACAAAAATAGGTAGGCAGGTAAAAATAGGTATTATATACTTTTGTTATACTAAATTCAAAATAACTTATGTGTGGTGAATATATTTTGATTTGATTTCTATAATATGTTATGTATAGTAGGTGGTTATCATAATGTTATATTTTTATATTGTATTTTTGATATTTAGTTATGATAACATTTAAAGGCGATTGGCTAGACTTATATCATAGGTACACAAAGAGAAACAAATTCGCTATTTTTTTACTGAGTCACTATAGTCATATTTTAATCTCATTTTCGATACATGTTTACGCCTCGTCTATTGAAAAAAAAAAAACGAAAATACTCGTAGGTACGCGTTGTATTATCATGTCAACCAATTTTATTATTGATTGACACAAGAATGGATCTTGCCTGAGCGAATTGTTGGGCGGGGAGGGGAGTGTACACGGACCAAATATATTTTATATAAACACATATATTAATAATAAAACGTGCTTTCTTTGATTATACCTACTCTCCTGCCATAATAACACGTCGATTTAAACTCTAGTGAATTTAATTTTCGGTGGGAAAACTGTCGACGGAGAAGGAGATTTAAACTCCTGCTTATAAACAGCGTGCCTCTATAGCGGTCAATAATATATAAGCATTTGCTTTAACTACGGCCGTTCCCACTGTTCACGATTTCGGACCGAGTTAAAGATGTCAAGGCAAAATCTACGCAACGATAATGTTAAATAATAACCTTAACGCGACTTGGTCGTAATGCATGACTATGGGAATATATAAAATGAATAGACTACCTACTTTCGCGTTCCAAAACGAATGCTTTAAGATTACCCTTTGCGATGATCAGAGTACAATTCCAGGAAGTTTGCAAAAATCTTCTTGTATACCTACTATAATAACATCCCATCAATAAAATTAAAAATCTTATATTTATGAAAAATCCTATTCAATTTAGAGGTAATTTTTAACGTCAATCTACAATCTATTGAATTAAGTAAAAATTATCTTATTACAAACAATCAATCTTCTGCAAGTACCTACTTTAGTACTTTAACATCATTATTACCCGTATAATATAATATCTAAAAATAATTCTAGCACACAAACTATTTAACATTTGATCAGAGCTGTGATTTATAAACGCACTAGCGTGTGTTTTTTTTTTTTGTTATTTTATACAAAAATCAGTTTAAAAAAAAATTCGTTCGTTTATATACAGTAGCATACTTTTAGATATATATTTTTTTTCGGAAATCGAGGAATCATAGATATATCTATTGGATATAGTGCAGTAGAAAAATATCTAATAGCATCATGTTACATTTTTTTATGATTTTTGATTGTTGATTTGTGGTTCTATGATAACAAACAAAGCGTTACGAAAATCGACCTAACAAAAATCGGTTAGAAACCTAACCTGTACCCAGCGTCCCAGCCCAAAAACATATCTATCTTAATTTGATTTACATTATATTACTGCTTGTGCTAAAATTTTAGGTATTGTGCACATAATAWTGTATATATTTTCTTTAAATCGTCTTTCCAAACGTCATATTTTACTAATTTTTGTGATTCAAAATTGTTGTTGGTTTTTTTTTTTGTTATTAAACTGACGATTTCGATAAGTCATCAGTACTTTTTTAGTTGATAAATATTGATATTAATAATAATTTAATTTTCGTCTCTAAAGAATAGTTATTTTTAGATTGTTTTGTTGTCAAAAACGCGTGTCGAAAAAAAACTTAGACTATTATGCAGATGGCAGGTTAGATTAAGGTATCTGCTATTGATTTTTTTAAAAAAAGAGGAAAATGTATTTGAAATTTACCTAATTAAGAATACGAATTAATGTAATTTTAATAAAGGTTTATTCTACATTTTATTATTAAATCGATAATTATTATTAATTTTAAATATTTTTAAAACAATTGAAACCATTATAGAAATACAAAACTGCATATGCACGTGCGCGCATTTTAAGCAGTTTTTTTAATGCATTCAATTAACAGCTCTATACAGGTTATCGTTTTTAAAGTAAATATTAACTTAACTTAAGTACATATTTAAAAATAATTTAAATTTTGAAACAGAAATTACATATTTATGCTTAATATTGTAAAATTAGTTCTTTAATAAAATAAAATAATTTTTGAAATCAAATAAACTGCATTCTATTGGGTAGTTAATAGCTGTCATTGTATTTTATTAATAACATAGTTATCTTWATTTATTTCATTATCACATTAGAGAATTAATATTATTACTCAATGGAGTGTACTCGCACCATAATATTGTTATTTTCTCGTGTTGTCATGAACATGACTTAATATATAGTTTTTTTTTTAATAAACTTCAATTAACATACAATAATAAAAATATACCTAACATAACTTTTTACTTTATAAACGATAGAGATATTAAAGTACGAGCTAATTTATTTGATTGTTTATTTTATCGTTTCTTATAAATATTTGTAATCAGAATTTAAAAAAAAAACGTATTTCCAGACACCTATTATGATTTTAAAATAATATTACAAGACATAATAATAATTATAGTATATCCGTACCACCGTGTTTTATTCCAACGAGTCTCTGAAGCAGTAAAGTAAATTTTACTATGCAACGGCTGTTATAGGAAGTGAATTGCGTTTAGAAATAATTACGTCTAATAAATTATTATAAATTACAGTTGACGTTTTTGTGGCGAAATAATTCGTGTTGAAGTGTCGTAGAAGAAAACTATGTCGAAATATGTTCTAATAGCAATATTAATAAATTGCAGTATTCATAATATTATAATAAACACCATTAAAACGGTGTTCAAATACAAAAATATAATTTGGTGTGAATATTGTTTCTTTCTTGTTAAATTAAATGTATTACAATATTTTTGTACATACWATATATTCAATAATGTAGATACCTATATGTTTGTTATCTTAACAAAATATTTGATAGCAAAAACATGGAGGTACCTACACCTACTTTAAAGTTAAAATGTCATCACTATATATAATATAGTTAATTAAAATATTAGATATTCTAAAGTATCTATTTGTGTGAACATAAAATGTCATATAAATTGCGTCTCTAAAAACCATTCCCATTTTAGATTTATTTCGTTATGATATATAAATATTATTATGGTCTTATTAACGTCTATGATCTAATATGGGTATATGTTATTTAAATTTAATATTGAATATCTTTAATCAGTTTGACGTTATACGAAATACGAATCATAAATACTTGTCTTCTAAATGTCATAATCAAAYCAACAGTCATGAAGTATACATGTTATCCTTGCAGTTATATATGTGGTGACAACAAGGAAATCTATATAGTAAAATAATAATAAACTTCTATGATTTAAATACATATAATAATATAATATGATCGAGTTTGATATAATAAGTGTACAATACGCCCTATTCTCGTACAAATTGTTCATGATGTACAAAACTCGTCACATAGGCTAGGGCGTAATATATTTTTATTACTCCTTTATATTACAATAATAATATAATACAGACTCGTGGAAAAAACTGATATTCGATGAAGAAGTTAAACATTTTAATTTATAATTATTAATTGAAAAATTTCGATTTTTATCAAATAATTAGTAAATACTTAAAAWAGCTACAAATATTGATATATTAACTTTGTTAACTCACTACTATATTATCTTAATATATTGATGTTTATACAAAAATCWAAACAAAAACAGCATAATATTACCAGTTGTAATTAATTTGAATATAAGTATACCTACATGGCAATAATTATAGTATTATACGAACTACATATTAATCAATTATAAGGCGATGAATTCAATTCCTATTGTCGATTTTATATGRTATGAAAGATGTAAGAAAATTTTTTGTATCAATTTATATTCAAATATAAATATATTTATATGAATAAAGAAACCCAAAAGATTTAAAGTATAACCAAGTCTGTGTTAAGTCTTCTAGTGGATAATAGTATAATACTGCAAGCTATAGGCTCCCATAAATGGAAAAAATCAGCCCTGTTCTTATCTATAACATAATATTGGCCTTATTGGTCGAGCACTCATACGACGTACGAGTACCTACCTACTTATTATTATTTGCGAAGAAATAATATCAGTTATATCACTGTTAGATCAATYATACATATTAATTATTAAATGCAATTAAATGCAATTAATCAATAGAATTACTGTCGTTAAATTTAAAGTGAAATACTACGATGTTATATCTGTTTTTGAATTGTATTATTTAGTGGTATGAACATTGATTAYTTTGATTATTTTGTTAATACTTGTATAAAATATTAATTGTGAGTATAAAACTAATGCTTTAAAAAAAAAATTTTTAAAAATAGATTCATTTTTATACATTTTAACTGTCTATATCACATTATTATTTCCAAAATCAATATAGTTTAAAAGTTAAAATTTGGAAAAACATAAATATATGTATCAAACTATAACTAGGTACATTTGTTTTTTAAACAATTTAACTTTTAACTAATAAAAATATATTCTTTAATTTTTTAAATAACTTGAAATAATGAATTCCTTCTAATAAAGTATTATTTTTTTCCCTAAAACGTATTATATTAATTCATAATCATAAAACTATTTCTAAAACTAACGTTATTTTTAGATATCTACTTCAATGTAAAATTGTTCATATTTTCTTTTTTTTCTCATCTCTTCTCCACTGACATGCTGTTCTATTT